GTGTTCCGAACTCAAATCCTGGTGCTCAACATCCTGCTGCCTCAGCTCCCACGTGCTGTGGGATAGGCATGCACACTCCCTGCCGGCTCAAATTTTTTCGTTATTATATTGGGGGTTGGCCTTAATTTCTTTTATTATAGTGAGGGGACAGTGGTCTCGCTATTGCTAGCTGGTTTCGAAACTCTGACTCGAGCATCGCTGGCTGCCGTGGCATCATCATAGCTCACAGCAACCTCAAACCCTGGGCTTAAGCAATCCTCCCGCCTCAGCCTCCCAAGTAGCTGGGACTACAGGTATGAGCCACCATGCCCAGCTAATTTTTGTATTTTTTGTAGAGATGGGGTCTCGTGCTTGCTCATGCTGGTCTCAAACTCCTGAGCTCAAGTGATCCTCCTGCCTTGGCCTCCCAGGTAGATGGGACTATAGGTGCACCACTACACAGGCTAATTTTTCTTTTTTTAAATTTTTTGTGGAGATGTGGTCTCACAATGTTTCCTAGGCTGGTCTTGAAATCATGGCCTCAAGCGAGCCTCCTGCCTCGGCCTCCACAAAGTGCTAGGTTTATAGGAGTGAGCCACCCTCTCCAGCACATTGTAGGGTTAATTGGCCGACCTTCAATACTGTTGTTTCTCAGGGAATAGAGAGACCCAAGGAGAGAGAGAGAGATGGGGGAACGGCCAGTTGGTGGAGCAGTTAGAATACACAGCATTTATTAAATTTGTCGTCTTACATGGGCGAAGTTTGTTGTGCCTCAAGACAATTACAACAGTAGCATTGAAGAGCATTGATCACAGATCACCCTAACAGATATAATAATAATGAAAAAGTTTGAAATATTGCAAGAATTATCAAAATATGACACAGAGACACAAAGTGACCATGTGTTGTGGGAAAAATAGCACCGATAGACGTGTTCAATTCAGGGTTGCCACATTTGTAAAGGATGCAATATCTGCAAAGTGCAATAAAACTAAGTGCAATAAACAAAGTGTGCTTGAATAAAGAGCTTTTGTATACCTTTCACCCACATTCCTCACTCGTAGCAGATTACCACATTGGCTTTATCAATACTATCATTCACATTTATTATTATTATTATTATTATACGTATTATTTTATTTTATTTTGAGACAGAATCTTGGTTTGTTGCTCAGGCTAGAGTGAGTGCTATGGCGTCAGCCTAGCTCACAGCAACCTCAAACTCCTGGGCTCAAGCGATCCTCCTGCGCTCAGGCCTGACCTGAGTAGCTGGGACTACAGGCATGCGCCACCCATCGCCGGCTAATTTTTCCTATATATATTAGTTGGCCAATTAATTTCTTTCTATTTATAGTAGAGATGGGGTCTTGCTTTTGCTCAGGCTGGTTTCGAATTCCTGACCTTGAGCAATCCGCCCACCTCGGCCTCCCAGAGTGCTAGGATTACAGGCATGAGCCACCGTGCCCAGCAAATACCTATTATTTTTACAAACCTTTTGAGAGTAAGTTGCAGACACAATGCCCCTTTGTTCCTAAATACTGCAGTGCATACTTCCTAGAACAAGGACGTTTGCCTCCATAATCATGGCGCATTAAAATCCGGAAATTGACATTGATCTACTTTTAGTACCTAATCTACAGACCTTATTCATTTCTCCCCACTTATCCCAATACTATCCTTTATAGCAAAAACATTTTTCCCCAGTCCAAACTCCAACCCAGGATCATGTCTGGCATTCAACCATCCTGCCTCTTTGGTCCATCCCAGTCTGGGGCAGTTCTCAGCCCCTTGTTTTGCATGACACTGACATTTTTCCAGTGTAAGCCAGTTGTTTTGCAGAATCCCTCAGCTGGGGCTTGTCTGATGTTTCCTCGTGACTAGAATCAGGTAGGTGGTAGGGTTCAAGGTGGAGGTAAGTGGGTGGCTTCCCAGTGCTGTCTGAATAAGTTATTCACTGTTTTCTTTGAAGGGAAGTCGTAAAATTTCAGACATACCCACATTCAATGATGAGTGCAAAACGCATTCCAAAGCCAGGTGAAAATAATGTTGGCTTACAAGGTGTAACTTTAGAATATTGCTATCTTTCAAACAAAAATACCAGAATTCACCTATCCCCAATTAGCGCTTTACCCTTCAAAGGAGTCATCTTGCAAAGCTATGCTCTTATCCAACAAAATTGTCATTGTTTGTCAATATGTCAAGAATTCTTTTCGAACTGGGTTCCAAGTCCGGCGTGGTGTAGTTTTGGAGGTGCTCCAGGATAGAGGTCTTTATGCCTCCAGAGTAGATTAATACTTTTGGAAATAACTTGTATTGTTCAAGGCTCTGTTGCAAACAACAAAATTCCAGTCTGAGGACTAGTTTAAGCAGAAACAGATTTATCCTGTTATATTGGGGATTCTACATGGGCTGAGGGGCCAGGTGGGAATGCCACACAGCCTCAAACAGCCAGGGGACTCCCCCAGCCATGCGGACAACTTGCTAGGAAGTACCTCTTCCACCACCGCCCATTGCTTGCGGATGGTCAAGTCTGCTCCAGCCATCCCAGGGGGGCCAGAGGCTTCTAACTCCACATTTGCCAAGACCACCCACCTATCTCCCCGTACATGGAGGTCACATCCCATGTCCTGGTTTTCCCCACCAGGCTTGTGGGAGCACCTCAGATTGGGGCATGTAGGCCACAGGCCAGCGCCCCAGCTGCAAGGGCCAAGAAGCTTTTAACCTGGAGGGGAAATGAAAAGTGACAGAATCCTGGACTAGGAGCCAGAAAACCTTAATTCTATTTCCAGCTCAGTCGCTGACTGTTCGGTCGACCTGAAGGCACTTTTTCCTTTTCTCCGAGTCTCCTGCAATATCTATTTCCTGGAAGGAGAGGGGGGTGGGGAAGCCCAGTGAAGGATCTGTCTGCCCATTGTCCCGACTAGTATTAAGAAGGGCACTGGGGCTTCTCACTGCCCTTGGGACAGCGTCCTGCATGCCAGGACTTCCCCCGCCCGCCTTAATCTCGTACAAAAAAAGACTCTAGAGCTAGAGCTCCAAGTGATTTAGGAAGCATCTCTGACACCGGTTTTTATCGTCCTCCCACCAGAGCCCTGGGGATACCCCGTTCGTGGCGGTGGCTAACGGTGGCCCGTCCTGGCTCTGAAAGGGGAAAAGAGACATAAAGCAGGGATGAGGGCGAGCGTGGGAAGGGGGTTCCAGTCCTCTTCTCGTCCTGCTGGGGTTCGGCCCCACCCCCATTCCACCCAGCCCCAGTTTCCCAAGCTGGGTCATCCCAGACCTGAAGTCCTTGCAGAACACCGGAGCCGTCGGGAGGCCAGGGGGACTGAGTCTTGGGGCAGGAAGGGGCTGGGAGCCTCAGGCTCCGAGCTTTTCAGGGCTCTCTACATTGGGTTATAGAAGAGGTTACATTTAGGGATGCAGGAAGAAAGATTGAGAACTTCTGCTCATATTTATTTCTTTTTTCTTTCAAGGCCTTCACCTCTGGGATCGTATCTATTTTTTTTTTTTTTTTTTTTTTTTTTTTTAAGCCAGTCAAATTTAGCATGTATCTATTTTTCTAAACCAAAATAAGCAAAACAAATTAAGCTTCGCTGATAACAAGCGTGTAGAATGAACAATAGTTTAAGTGTAAATTTTCTATGAATGTTGAGGATGCTTTCTCAGAAAGTTGTCACTCATAGGGAAGAGTGATAATGTTTAGAGACCTCTTAGGCAAATAAAAGGTTTGAAGGGGCATGCGAAGATTTGGGAGTTGATTTGGAACCAGAGCTGGCGGTCATGGAGCTGGCATTGATTTTCAAGGCCATGAACTTTGGAGGAATGGAAGGTTCTTTGCCCAAGAAATCACCGTGGGGTGTGGCTTCAAAGGCGCCTCCACCCCACTGAGCTGTCTTGCTTTGTGTTTTTGTTTTGTGACAGAGTCTCCCTCTGTCACTCAGGCTAGAGTGCCTTGGCTTCAGCCTAGCTCACAGCAACCTCAAACTCCTGGGCTGAAGCAATCCTCCTGCCTCAGCCTCCCGAGTAGCTGGGACTACAGGTGTGTGCACCATGCCTAGCTAGTTTTTAAATTTTTGGTAGAAAAGGGGGGATCTCACTGTGCTCCCAGGCTGGTCTCCAAGTCCTGCACTCAAGCGATTCTCCCTCCTGGGCCCCCCAGAGTGCTAGGATTACAGGCGTGAGCCACTACGCCCAGCCACACTGAGCTGTCTTAATTCCATTTGACATTCAAAGAGGCAGGGTGATGTTACAGTGTTTCCCCGAAAATAAGACCTACCCATAAAATAAGCCCTAGCAGGATTTCTAAGCATTTGCGCAATATAAGCCCTACCTTAAAAATAAGACCTAGTGATGGGCGTGGGTACGCAGCATATCTGCACAACTCATTCATTTTGTCGCAGAACGGTAAAGAAGGCGAGCAGCCCTTCTCATCTGCCCCATCGTGACAGCCACTATCCCAGAGGTGACCGGAAAGGTGCGGGCAGCCCCACCAACAAGGTCGGCTCCCCCTGTCAGGTCCCGGCCATCCTGTGCGTGCTGCAAGCTGAGGCTTTGAGGGGAAAATAACACATCCCCTGAAAATAAGCCCTAGGATGTCTTCTTGAGGAAAAATATATATAAGACCCTGTCTTATTTTGGGGGAAACACGGTACCTACTGTTACAGATAACCCTAATAAGTTCCAAGTTCTCCAAGACTCCTCGGTCCCTAGCCCCTGGACACCAGGTGACCTACCTCCTGGTGCCTGAGTCGGGGAGGAACTCTACTCCCAGTAAGAACTAAGCGTAATAACCACTTAGAGAAGACGTACATGCCAGGTTCTGTTCTTGGCACATTACCCTTTTTTTTTTCTTTTTTAAGAGATGGGGGTCTCACTATGTTGCCCAGGCTGGATTGCAATGGCTATTCACAGGCACAATCACTGAGCACTGCAGCCTCGAACCCCTGGGCTCAAGCAATCCTCTCATCTCAGCCTCCTGAATACCTGGGACCACAGGCGCCACCACGCCTGGCTCAGCATGTTACCCTTTTGGTAGGAACAGTGAGATGATAGTTTCGGGACACATTTAATCCTAGGGTGGTTTGGCGTGGCCGTCAATGACCAAGTTAAAAGTCAACGCGGTTCCTAGGTTGCGTGACACTGGAGAGCTTCCCCACAGTTTGGCTCAACGCTAGGACGAGGAGGGATCTGGAGACTCAGTATCTGTGTCCCTAAGGCAGAGGGAGATTGGCATCACCAGAGTGGACACTTGGTTCTGCAGACTGAGGTGACCGGGAGCTTGTGTGTGCGCGTGCACGCGTGCGCGTGCACATGTGGGAGGACGCTGACGCCTGGGCCCCTCGTGGGAAGAACACAGCCTGTGCCCGGGGTTCTAGCCGACCCGTTTATTGAGCCACAGCATTGTCGTCACACCCATTCCCAGAGGACAGCCCTGGAGAAGAGAGACACACCATGGCCGCAGCCGGGTGAGGCGTGCGGGCTGCAGGGGACGCTGTCTCTCGCCATAACTGGGAAGGCTGAGTTCTGGAAGGTGCGTCCTCACCACGCCAAAATGGTGCCCCCGCATCACAGAGGGACAGGGGGCCCTAGGTCCAGCCCCATGAGTAGTCGAGCTGATGTCTTCTTCCAAGTTTTCCAGTCCCAGAGCAGAGAGTTCCGCGTGGCGGAATCGGTGCTACCAGATCTCTGGGGTTGTCCATTCCCTTCCAAGGCCAGATGGGTGACGTCACCGGTTGCTAGGCAAGTTTTGTTGGGCCTCTCCGCTCCTTTCCAGCAGAACCAATTATTCCTGCAGCAAAATGGGCACTAATGCTGCCAGGTAGGGCACAGATTTGCCGCCTTGGAAAAATGGGTGATGTCACCAGTTACTGGACAGATTTATCAGGCAGGTTTTCTTCCACGTCGTTCTCGCTGTGTACCTCAGAGTTTTCTGCAATGTCGGAGTCTGGGGTCGCCAGCCTCGAGGGGTCCATGGTGCTGCTCCGCATGGAGAGCATGGAGTTGACCACAGACAGGATGAACGAGTTCTGACTGCTCCTTTTCCAGGCCCTCCACGGGCTCCTGTGCCCCTCCCTGCTTGGGGACAGGTTGATCTCCTTCAGTGTGTCCTCACTGTCATTCTGCTGGTGATCTAGGGTGGACTTCATCTCGGGGGGCTTAGGCCATTCTACGGGCTTGCGGGGCACCATGGATGCCTTTTTGAAGGTTAGTGGTTTCTCTAAGGTGTTAGAGACAATGGGGTTCTCGAAGTACCACCAGTGTTGAAGCGGGTGAACTGCGATTGGCAGAAAGGTGAGGAGGCTGAGGAAGCTGACCCAGCCCAGGGTCCTCTTCAGGTAGGGCTGTTTTACTTCCTGGCTCTGGGAGCAGAGAGAGGCGGGTGCAGGGTGGGAGCAAAAAGCAGTAGCGGAAGGTTTCAGCCCATGCACTGCTGGGTATTGGATTCCCCAGGGGCCAGGAAGCTGGTTAGGGGATCACTGGGGGTGGTGGGATCCCAGATCCGGAGTCCCGTGGGGCGAGAGATACGACAAGGGGGTCCCAGAGTGGGCTGGGAGGCCAGGGAGGGGGAGTCTCACCGCACTGCTGTTCCAGGCGATGTAGTAGGGGGCCACCTTATGGTACAGCTGTGCTATGCAGAGGCCGAGGAGGGCCAGCAGCCCGGGCAGGGTCACTTGGCACCACAGGAAAGTGAAGGTGGGCCACAGCAGGCGGCCCAGCTCATTGAATAATTCTTCCCTGAACCTGGGGTGGGGACAATGGTCAGGGGCGTCTGGGAAAGAGCCCTCCTCTGGCCACCAGGGCCTATGGCCCTTGGGAAGGTAGACCTGCCAGCCCTTTGGTTTTCTCACCAGTTTCCAACTCTCAGGGGCTGCCAGATTCTGCGCGGCCCGCCCCTGAGGCTGGGCCCTACATCTGGCCTGCCCCACAGAAATCCTTCCCTCTGCAGCCTTGCGCTACCCCATCTCTCCAGAGTCATACTAGCCCAGGACTGCCTGTGCCCTCAAGACCCGCCCGCTGCCCTAGGGTCCTCCCTCCTGCAGCTCTCGCAGGGACAGAGGCAGCAGAGGTGGCCCCAACACTCCTAGGCCTGGGATGGGGCCCATGGCTGGGCAGACCCTGGTGCTGGGAAATCACCTCCTGGCTCCATAGATCCAGGCCAGAGCCATGTTCTGGAAGGTCACAGTGATGACGAGGGTAAGCGGGACCACGAGGTCATCAAACAACGACAGGATGTAGCTGCCGGCGTGACTGGTGAAGACGAGGCTGCCCAGAAAGCCTCCCAAGCAGAAGAGCACTAAGGCAGAGGCAGGTGTGGCCACAGTGAGGTCTCTGCGCCAGGCTCGGCCGGGAGTCACAGTGAACCCTGGCAGGTGGGCTTGCTGGGGGGAGGGCAGCAGGACAGGGTTCTCGCTGGGGTGAGAGTCCACGGTACCTGGGACCAGCTTGGGATTCTTTATGAAGGTGGAGACGGAGTTCTGGAGGGGAATGATGACGGCCTCTGCGATTTTTATCAAGGTGGCCAGCTCTATGATGAGCAGGGACAGGAAGAAGATGATGGCCCAGAAGGAGGAAGAACCGGGGAACAACGAGACGGCTTGGGAGAAGGCTGCGAATGCCAGGCCCGGGCCCTCCATGAGCTGCGGGGAAGAGGGGCTCTGAGGCAGGGTCTGGCTTGGGGGTGGGAGGAGGGGCGATGTCTGAGGGCAGAGGAAAGAGGCACGGAGCGCTGAGTGTTTGCTCTCCTTGGTTTCCTTAGCTGTGTGAGCTTCACCCAGCGGCTTCATAACAAACAGGCATCCCAGGGGCCATGCGAGCAAGGAGCAATGACTTAGCAAAGACCCGCATATGGGCATATGGAAACGTGATTACGCTGTTTCCTGCCTAGGGGGAGGCTAAGGTGGCCCACGGGGCTGCCAAGAATCACACTTCCCAGCGTCCCGTTGGGAAGCGCCCTCCTGCCCCCGCACACACACCTGTTCCTCCTGCACCTTAATGCTGCAGGGTAGGGAGTGCTGTATGACCTGGTACTGGAGGTATGTGGGCAGGGTGCTGATCCAGTCCAGGTAGTCAATGGGGGGCATGAGCAGGATGTTTTCGGGGGGCTTGGCATTCGGAGGCAGCAACCCTTTCGATATCAGCTTCATCAGCATCGAGACATTCCTGAAGGGGAAACGGGAAAGAAGGGTGGTGGGGAGCAGGCAGGCCTCTCTGCTCCCTGGCTCAGTAAGGCTTCTTTGTGTCCACTGCTCTTCAATAACTTTATAGGAAAGTAAGATTTTTATTTTATTCATTAAAAATTTTGCTGGCACCATGGAAGCGTGGACTTCTGCATCCTTCAACACCCTGAACTGGAAGAAAAATCCTACTGTGGAGCTTTTAAAAATCCCAATGCCTGGATACATCCAAGACTAAAGAAATCAGAATCTTTGGAGGTGGAACTCAGACATTAAGTATTTTCTACAGCTCCCCAAATGATTCAAATATGCAGCCTAGGCCAGTAACCACTGAGTGTGGCTCAGAGCGCAGTAAGAGCCTTCTCTGGGAGTTAAATAACCAATTTTGGAACCTTTCTTAGTCCATTTGCAATGTATGGAAACCTTAGGACAGCTGCATCTCTGAGACAATTTTCTTATCTATGAAATGGTGGATAGTAGCATTTGGGGGGCTGTTTTCTCTGAGAATAAACATGCGATTATTATTAATATTAATGGAGAGGCTCTTGAGATTAAAGGCCCATGAAACTGGCAGATTGCTAAGGTAGAGGCAGAGGGAGGGGGACCTCTCCTTGTACCTGCAAGGCTGTGGTCACTCACTTCTCAACACAGGTGCTGCCACTGGTGGCGGCCCAGAATCCCAGCACTATAAAGACGATGGACGTGGTCAGCAGGGAGGTCACCAGGTTGACTAGGGCCACAATGGAGGCCAGCTTGATACAGTCGTTGCCTCCAGCATTGTAGGAGGAGAAGGGGACGATGGTGCCCATGCCCAGGCTCAGGGAATAGAGCACATGGCCTCCTGCCTGACGCCACAGGTCCAGCGAGGCTAAGGCAGAGAGCTGTGGGTGGGAGTGGGTGAGAGGCATTGGGAGTTGGCTCAGCGGGTGGAACACCAGGAAGTGGGCAGAGGGGAGACTAAGGTAGAGAGCAGAGGGATAAAGGGTGGGCCGGGGGCAGAAGGGGAGAAGATGTGGAGGAAGGAGACTCAGAAGCCTTGAGAGTTGAGGGAGGGATTTTGGAGTTCCCAGCCTCACCTCTGTTGTCACCATACGTCTAAGGCTGGCAACTGCATTTTCCAGGAAGAGACCTCGGATGAAGAAGCAGAAGAGGAGGATGTAGGGGAGGAATATTTGCAAAAACAGCAGCTGGCCAGGCGGGTCAGGACAGAAACCAGGAGTCAGGAGAGATGCGGAGGAGGGGAAAACAGAGGTAAGTATTAGCAGGGGACTGCAGGTCAGCAGGTGTAGAGAGATGGCGATGGGCAATGTCAAGGTGGCCTGGAGGTAACAGGAGAGAGTTATGGGAGCATTATTCTAGGGAGACGACACTGTTATTCGGGAAAACAAATCCATCAGTAAGCTGCCCAGAGGTGAGGGATGAGATTCCAAGTAAAGATGACTTTTAAATGGTAAGGCATTTGGACACTTAATTCATGGGCGTTGGTTTTAAGTGAGTTCAGGGACAGGAACTGCAAGGGGGAGAGGAGCCAGAGAACCTTAAAGACTGTGTGGAAGAACTTCATAGGGGAAGAGAGAGGAAAAGAAACTCAGATTTGGGGAGAAAGTACCATGATGAAGAGGAAGGTGTGGCTTTGGGACAGATGAGCTAAGGCCCCCCTCTCTCAGTGTACCCCTCCCAAACCTTCAGTAACGTTGGTATGAGTGGTTTATTTTGGAGGCTGTGAAGAGATGGGGAGTCGGGCCTCTAGGGATGCAGGAAAGTTGAATGTTCACATGAACGCAGGGAGCAGGAGATGCAGGTAGAATTAACCACAATGATCTAACATGCTGAAATAAATTTTCCATGTAAAGGGAATATGATTCAGGTGCCAAGGAGTGGGATTGGAAGTAGAGAGTGGAGTAAAATATTCTAAATGGGTAACTGGAAAAGAATTGGGGCCAATCAGCTCTTTTAGGGGTTAACATGCATTGTCAAATTGCAGGAAGTTGGAGGTTGCAGGGCCCAGGGGCTGAGACCGGTCTGATCTGAAAGGCTGCCTCCAGGTCTCCGTGGGCAGGGATGTGGGGATATGGGGTCGGGTCAGTAGCAGGCGCTCCTTCAAGCCGTCGGTGGGAGAATAGCAGTGCTTTGTAGGGAGAGGAGGGGGCAGGGGTCGTCCTCAGGACCCCTGATGGAGATGCCAGGGGGCCACATCTAAGCTCGTCGTCTTGGTGGTGGAAGTGCCATGGGGACTGCAGAGGAGGAGCAGTCAACAGGAAGGGCTTGGATGGTGCTGGGGCAGGGAGTCTGGGGATCTTAGGGTTCGCAAAGGCGAAGCAGTAGTGGGGTCAGTGGTCAGGGTGACTTACCGGCATTGAAATCTGTGTCCCTGTGATCATGATTAAGAAGAGGACGACCCAGGCTGCGAAGATGCCCAGGGTGAGGTTCAGGACGAGGCCCTCGACCCCTTCCTCAATGTGGCCTGAGGCTTGCAGGGTGGTTTGGTACCAGAAGTACTGTTGGGTCACAGTCCGAAGGCAAGAGTAGTCTAGGGGGACCCAAGCACACAGGCACCACCTTACTTGGTGCCTGTCCCTGTTCTCCACTGACTCCCTTTGGGCTCTCACTCCCTGTTTCGTGCTCCTTGGTATCCCTGCCTCCCTTCACCCTGCTGGCCCTCTCTCCCTCTCCTCACCAGTGACACTGATGTTCTTCACCAGTGGGCAGTAGTCCCAGGGCAGGGGGTAACTAAAGGAGTTGCTTAGGTAGGACAGGCTCCAGGAGACCACGGTGCTGTTGTACAGGCTCATCAGCGTGCACACCTGGGGGTGGACACAGTGGGCCTGAGGGCTGGGGTGGGTAGAGACAGGGGCCCTGGAGACCACAAGGGGTGAGCTGGGATGCCTGTTGGCTGGGCCACTCAGTTACCAGTATGCTGGCATAGCCCACGCCGCCCAGCCAGGGGACGAGTTGCTTCCAGGCCTGGATATTGTTCACATGCAGCCATTGCCCTACGGTCATCTCCATGTACAAGAGAGGGATTCCGAATAAGAGAAGCATGAAGAAATGTATCAGGATAAAGTTGCCTGAGGAAGGGAGTCAGAGGCTGTGCTCAGGCAACCAGGAGACCTGGCCCCCTTCCCAGTATCCCCTAGGACTCCCTATGTGCCCAACTCCAGCTTTTTCCTCCCCCAGGACCCAGGAATCTAGTCTCCCAGCCTTAAAACTCCTTTCTTAAACTCAGGATCCAGGCTCCTGGCCTTACCTCCTCCATTCCGTTGACACAGGTAAGGGTAACGCCATATGCTGCCTAGCCCAACAGAGAAGGCCACCTGGAGCAAGAGGTTCTCAGTTTGTTTAGTCTGAACCAAGTAGTGTTGGGGGATGGTGGCTCGAATATCCTTGGCCTTGAGCTTCCAGGGCAGGGAGGCTTGAAGGCTGGAGGTTTTGAGTTTCTTGAAATGCTCTTCCTCTGTCTTGTTGGATAATTCTCCAAGGAACTCCATGGCTTTCTTCTTACAAGCCCGTTAACTCCTGAGGGTATCTTGGGGTCACCAAAAACAGCATACTGTAAGAGACACATCTCAAATACCAGGTGGTAAAACTTCACGACAAGGGTTTTAGAGAAACAAGGGCCAGTGTTTAAATCTTGGCCCTTCTCTTTACTAGTTATTAACCTGGGGCAAATAATTTCATCTCTTTCAGACTCAATTTTTTCTCCTCTTACAAGCACATGAATTTCAAATATTTAATAACTGTTATGGTGTGAGCACTGACCAATCAGAATGAATGCCAGCCATAAACACTGGAGTATCAGCTGAACATCAGTCCTGTCCAAAAGGAGTAAAAATGACATAATAGATATTGAGTGCCAAGGACACAGTATACATTTGATACACTCAGGTCTCTTCTGGTCTACTTGGAAATTTTTAGGCCCAAATAATGCACGCATAGACTTCTAGGCTAGTGGTTCCCCAAACTGGCTACCATCACAATCACTTGAAGAGCTTTAAAAAGATATGGATTCCTGCCTTTCATTCTCCTAGCCTCACTCCTATAGATTATTATTTTTTTATTTTTTTTTGAGACAGAGTCTCGCTTGTTGCCCAGGCTAGAGTGAGTGCCGTGGTGTCAGCCCTAGCTCACAGCACCTCAAACTCCTGGCTCAAGCGATCCTTCTGCCTCAGCCTCCCGAACTGCTGGACTAACAGGCAATGCACCACATGCCCGCTAATTTATATGTATAGTATATATACTAGTTGGCAATTAATTTCTTTCTATTTATAGTAGAGACGTCTGCTCTTGCTCAGGCTGGTTTCGAACTCCTGACCTCGAGCAATCCACCCACTCGGCCTCCCAGAGTGCTAGGATTACAGACTTGAGCCACCCCACCCGGCCAGATTATTTTTTTATTAGACAGAATCTTGCTCTGTTGCCCAGGCTAGAGTGCCGTGGCATCAGCCTAGCTCACAGCAACCTCAAACTCCTGGGCTCAAGCGATCCTCCGGCCTCAGCCTCCTGAGTAGCTGGGACTACAGGCATGCGCCACCACGTCCGGCTAATTTGTTTTTCTTCTTCTATTTTGAGTTGCCTGGCTAATTTCTTTCTATTTTTAGTAGAGATGGGGTCTTGCTCTTGCTCAGGCTACTCTAGAACTCCTGACCTCAAGCGACCCTCCCACCTCAGCTTCCCTGAATGCTAGGATTACAGGCATGAGTCACTGCATCTGGCCAACTCCTCTAGATTCTGATTCGGTAAATCTAAGCTGGGGTATAGAGATTGGTAGAATATAAAAGCTTTGTTGGGGTTCCACTTCTGGAAAAGGCAGCATGAGGACCTCTCTGGACCCACTTCCTAGTGAAATAAGTAAACTTGTGAAAACTATAAAGAAAATAAGTACATTTATGGTCTCCGGAAATTGCTCTAAGGTCGTACAGCAAATGATTAAACAGTTATTCAAGAAAATATACTAAAACTCTAAGAACGCCGCAGTCTGCGGCCCGTGCCCTCTCTACTCCTAGCCCACTATGGCAGCTCCACTCCAGGTGGAGAGAACACAGGACTCTTTTACTGTCTAGCGCCCAGGCCACCAGCATTTCTCATTCCCTTCCAGCTACATGTTGCAGAGGCTACATTCTAGGCAAGTGTGGCAAAAAGGTCAGGTGCTCCCTTCTTCCACCCAGCCCCCACTTTTAGAGCAGAGGATCTATGTCAGGCATGGCATTCTGAGATTACTGGGGCCCTGATCTCCCCTGGCCCTGGCTCATTTGTAAGGTTGAGGTTACATGCCAGGACAGGCAAGTCGATAAGAACAGAGGCTAATGCCCCATAGAGCAACCAGCTCCTGAAGCAGGGGTGTCTCTCAGAGAGCTGCAGGCCATTGTTCCCACCCATCTTAGAGGTTTGGTCCAGAGAGAGAGGCAAGCCTTAAGAACTAAGAACTCTCAGACCGGGCGCAGTGGCTCACACCTGTAATCCTAGCATCTGGGCGGAGTGGGGCGGACTTGCTCAGGTCAGGAGTTCGAACACCAGCCTGAGCAAGACGAGACTCAGTCTCTTACTATAATGAGAAGAAATTAATTGGCCAACTAATATCATTCCAAAAAAATTAGCCGGGCATGTGGCGCATGCCTGTAGTCCCAGCTACTCAGAGGCTGAAGCAGCCAGATTGCTTGAGCAGGATTTGAGATTGTTGTAACTCGAGCTGAGCAGGCACTCAACTCCTAGCCTGGGTGAACAAAGTTGACCTGTCACCTGTAATCCTAGCCACCTCTGGGAGGTCCGAGGCGGGCGGTTGCTCAGTCAGGAGTCTTGAAACCGAGCCTGTGAGCCGTCTCTACCAAAAATAAATAATTAATGGTACCCAACTAAATATATATACACAAAAATTAGCCGGGCATGGTGGCGCACTGCTAAGTCAGCTACTCGGGAGCCTGAGCAGTGGATCGCTGAGCCCGGAGATTGAAGGTTGCTGTGACCAGGCTGATCCACGGCACTCACTCTAGCCTGGCAACAAGTGAGACTCTGTCTCAAAAAAAAAAAAAAAGAAAGAAAGAAAGAACTAAGAGCTCTGAAGCTCTCTCCCAAAGAATTGACTTTATTTAAAACAAAGTATGCAGAGTTCAAGCCAAAGGACACACTCAAAAATAGTGAAGGTACAGCTGGTAAGCAATTAAGTGGAAGCTGACAGCTTCATGAGAGATACAAGCTAGACTGGAGCTAGTATACCAGAGAGAATCAGGGAAAGAGACAGCTAAGATCCCTCCTAGGGTCAGAACAAATCTCAAACACTGCCCTCAAAAGCAGCTTCTTTAGCTGGGCGCGGTGGCTCACGCCTGTAATCCTAACACTGAGAGAGGCCAAGGCAGGAGGATCACTTGGGGTCAGGAGTTCAAACCCGCCGAGCAAGAGTGCAGACCCTTCCTACTACCAAAAGAAAAAATTACTGGCATGGTGGGTGCATGCCGCTATCCCAGCCTACTTGGGGGCCTGAAGGCAGGAGGATCGCTTGAGCCCAGGAGTTTGAGGTTGCTGTGAGCTAGGCTGACACCATGGCACTCTAGCCTAGGCAACAGAGTGAGTCTCAAAAAAAAAAAAAACACCAAAAAAACCCAAAAACAACAATAACGAAAAACAGACTGTACCTTTAAAGGAGCCCAAATTTAATTGGATCAGATATGGAACAATTTATGCCTCAGAACATTGTCAAAAACAATAAAGTAATCAGCTGGCAATTAGTGGAGCTTAAAAGCTGAGTGTGATTAGGGAAAGAGACAAAAGAGTCCTCCTAAAAACACTGTCACCCAAGGGTGACAGTGCATGCCTAAGGCTGCGCACTTTGAGGATTATATGATAGGACCAATTGGGATTTATCCTAGGAATGCAAGGTTGGCCTAACATCTGGGGTGATATAAATGTTCTATATCTTGATCTTCATGATGGTTACATAAGTGTACACATACACAAAATTCATTGAGCATACCCTGAAGATTTGTATACTTCACTGTATGCAATTTTTACCTCAATAAGAAAAAAAGGTAAAAAAATTACGGGACACATGAGGATACAAGATAACACAATGAACTTAATTTTGTTTCTATTGTCTAAAAAGCAACAGATAATAAAAATCGATCAATAGGGATTCCAGTATTTGGTGTTATCTGTCTCAAATTCACGGTAAATATGCTTATCATGATCAAGGAAATAAAATACAATGTTGAGAACCTGTAATTATAAAAAGATACAAATGGAAATGCTAGAACTAAAAAATACAATAACAAATATGAAGACTAAATGTATGGGTCAAAAAGTAGATTATACACAGCTAAAGAGATAATTAGTGAGCTGGAAGACATATCAGAAGAAAATTTCCAGGATGAAGGATAGAGAGACAAAATGATGGAAATCAGAGAAAAGGACATAACTGGATACGTGGAGAAGGTATACTATGTGTTTAATTGGAGTACAAAAGAGAGAAGAGAGAATGGGACAAAAACAATTTGAAGGAGAAATGGCCTGGGATTTTCTCAACTAAATCAGGGACACCTAACCACAGACTCAAGAAGCGCTCTGATTCCACAAGCATATAAATAAAAAGAAAACAACACCTAGTTTCAACAAAGTAAAACTTTGGCAAACCAAAGACAAAGAGAAAATCCTAAAAGGGAAAACTTACCTATTAGTACAAAAGAACAACAATTAGAATGACAAGTAACCTCTCAAAAAATAATGTAAACAAGACAATGGAATGAAAAATTTAAAGTGCTAAAAGAAAATAACTGCGAATCTAGAATTCCATACCCAGAAACATATCCTTCAAATATTACGATGAAATTTAAAAAATTTCAGACTAACAAAACTGGAAAGAATTTCATCAACAGAACATGTGCACTATAGGAAATTCTACAGGAGATCTTCAGGAGGGAAAATTATTTGAGAGGAAAGATCAAACATGCAGAAACATGAGTAATGAAAATGTAAACATGTAGGAAAAATTGACTGTACAAAAACAGTAATAGTAACGTCTTATTGGTCTTTAAATAAGCAAGGAATTAGAATGCACAATAACCAAAGTTAGAAGTGTGATAAATGGAGCTTGAGTGTAATAAGTACTTTTCATTCTCTAAGTAGAGGATAAAAGTACCAGTTAATATTATTCAATAAGAAGTGTACATATTTAATATCTAGGGGAGCCATTAAAAATAATAAAAGTGTATATCTTCTAAGCTATCATAGACAAAAAATGGGCTAAAAACATTCAACGTACAAAGAATGCAAGAAAGGAGAAAAAAAGAAATATAGAGCAAATAAGACAAGCACAAAGCACCTAATTAGATAGTAGATTTAAATCTAAATATATAAGTATTTACATTAAATGTAAATAGACTGGATGCCCTAATTAAAAGACAAAGTTTTCAGCCTGAATTAAAAAACCAAAATCAAACTAAGTGCTGTTTGCAAGAGGCAACTAAAATTTAAGAATATGAAATAATTAAAACTAAAAAGCATAGAAAGCCGTGTTCCATGAAAAGCCTATCCAAAATA